ATGCTTCATACTCCGCGGCGTTGTTGGAAGCTAGAAAATAAATTCGGAGAACGTAACGGAGCTTGTCCATAGTTGGAGTGATGAACAATATGCTGGCACCAACACCATTGATGTTGAGGGCGCCATCGAAATACATTATCCAGTGCTCAGGGCAAGTAGCAGGGATGGGCTCTTGGATCTCGGTCCATTCAGTGACGAAGTCAGCCAGCGCCTGTGACTTAATGGTAGGCCTACTCCTAAATTTGATGGAATAAGTGCCGAGCTCGACTGCCCACTTGATGATGTGGCAATTGGCCTCTTTGTTATGGAGAATGTCCCCTAGAGGGAACTCGGTGACCACGGAGATCTTCTAGTACTTGAAGTAATGGCAGAGCTTGCGCGACGTCACTAGAATGGCGTATAACAGCTTCTAAACCTGAGGGTAACGAGTTTTGGACTCATTAAGAACCTCGCTGATGAAGTAGACCGGGAGTTGTACCTTATAGGCATGTTCGGCCTCCTCATGCTCAACGACGATAGCTGTGCTAACGACATGAGAGGTGGCGGCGATGCTGGTGAGCCCAAAGGGTAGGGCCATAACCCCTAGAGTTTCCTGATCAGCCTCGATAGATCAAAATTGGAGGGTGGTAGGTGCTGGACTAGAGTGGTCAGAGCCAATTCCGCGATGGAGAGGTAGTCGGCAAGCTTCTAGCCAACCTGATCGATGGATGCGATCAGATCGTCGTTGTTGATCTGCTTCCTCGGGTAGCGGGGAAGTAGGTGGTGAGTTGCTGATGAAGACAACCACAAAGGCGGTTCCAAGATCGGATCTGCTGTCGCAGGTGCCGATGTGATCAGCGCATAGTCGATCTATGCCGGCTCGATGATCTCTCCATCTTCGTCAGCATTGATGACCCAGGAGATCGATCCGACCGTAAAGATCTGGCCAGGTTTTGGGAGGACGAAGAGCCTGCAAAACATACCATCTTGTTCGTCGTAGAAATAGCATGCACACCCCCAACTGTCGACAAAAGATGCTCGGCAGTCCTCCGAGGGGTATCCCACGAAGGTAGATTGATCGGCAGAGGTGCGCGTAATCAAGAACAAGAAGGCAACAGAGACACAAGAGTTAGATAGGATCAGGCCGTTAGCACGACATAATACCCTACTCATGTGGTCTGTTGGTTTGTATTAGCGATCGTATGATATTGCGTGTGTTTTGAGGGGGTCCCTGTCCGCCTTATATAGTCTGGGGGCAGGGTTACAAGTCGGTTAGATCTAGGAGATAACCGGTAAGTAATAACAGATTACATGAATCATGGGATCTAATGTATCCTAACAAATCTCGTAGTATCTTCAGGATATCGCCCTTGATGCCTTGCGGTGCACGGGGACCAGAGCCGTGCACCGTAGGTCTTCGTCTTGTGGGCCGGACCACCCCTGGGTGTGCAGCCCATGTAGTCTGCCATGAGTATCCGAGGTCGTACCCCCCACACAGGGGCTCCTAGGACTTGTGTACGTGCCCTGGAAGTTCCCCACGAAGATCTCTTTTAGGTCCGCCCAACTTTGGATTTGGTTGGGTGGAAGGTGTTCCTACCACGTTCGCGCCGAATCACCTAGGAACAATGGAAGGTTACGGATAATGAAATCGTCATTACCCGCTCCACCGGCTTGGCAAGCAAGTCAACAATCCTCGAGCCACAATCCGGGGTTCATTTTCCTACAGTATTTCAGGAAGTTGGTTGGTGGTCGGTACAATGGTGGGGAGACGGCGTTGAGGATGTGTCGGCCGAAGGCCTGAGGGCCCGGCAAGTCGAGGCTCGAGCTTCGGTCCTTGCCGCTGTCATAGCGTCCGCCATGACGAGGGTGGTAGCCGCAGCTAGCCCCCACCCTCTCATCGCTGCGAGCACGCCTGCGGACATCGAGGGTGTCACGCGCGTCACGGTGGCGGCCGAGACGCTCATGCACTAGGACCACGGTGCGTGGCCTACTGCCTTGTGATGCCTAGTGGACTAACACATCCATGTCGAGTCATTCTGAGGGCGTGCGTTGGCTGGCGTCGAGCTCGCGTCATTGGGACAGCGAGCTCTCGGTCTACTGCACCGCTGCATGCTCGAGTAGCATGCGAATCTCATGATGGGCCCGACGATCCTTAGGCATCGCGGGCCCGAAAAGCCCCAGAGCAATGCCGCAATAGCAGCGATGTTCTGGCTCGCCCGGGTGAAGTGTGGAGGGCTTCATCATCCTCGATGATCCTCTAGTTCACGTCGTGGGCCATGGCGCACGCACGCCCACCGTCTCCGTGGCGCTCGAGCTCTACACGTTCCTACTCGAGCTGGAGTCGTGCTTCCTCGAGCTCTTGGTGCCGGGCCTTAAGTTGCTCCACCCGTAGGCGAGGTGGGGCCCCTGCACCCCCCTCGACCTTGTCGTCGAGGTCGTTCATTGGGGTAGCCTTTTCCTCATGGATGCTTTCGACGTGTCCCTCGGGGGTACCTACCATGAAACATTCACGAGAGGGGTGATGGCTCCCCCTGCTGGAGTCAGAGGTGGAGGGCGACTTCGTTTCTCCCGCGAGGAGGTCGTCGAAAGACTCCACGACATATTCGGTCACCCCCACGAACTCGTCGTTCACGGGGGATGGAGGCGTGCGTTGCGCCACAAGGTGGCCAACAGACTCTGTGGTGTTGTGGATACCGGACGGAGCGCTATCAAGGTGCTCCGGATGAGATATTTCGGGGAGAGCAGCTCTCCCCGGTAAGCTACGTCATGACGTTGGCAAACAAGAAGGTGAGGTGGTGCAGGTTCTCCCGGGACGGTCGGGGTCCTAGGAAGGCACCGAGCTGGCGCTCTAACCTTCCGTAGTCGAAGCCGAGGAGTTGGTCGCTCTCGAGGGCGCATGCCTCCGGTGTGTGCAGCTGCAGCTCCTCAAGCGCCTCGGCGATCACGTCGAGGCCGATAGAGTGGAGAGGTTGGACGATGACGGGAGCCCGCACCAACTCTCCCTCCGTCATGATGATAAAATCCAGGTTCCCGAAGCAAACGTGCGCGCCCGGGACCCAGCTGATGTTATGACTAGCCATCCGAGGCCTGGTGTGGATGTCGAGATGCGCAAAAGGCCCCTACCTGGCGCGCCAACTGTCGGTGTTTCGAGTGACCACCGACAAGTAAATTTTTAATATTGCGCGTCTGGCTCGGATTGTGTGCTTATAGGGCATGAGGTTTATACTAGTTTGGGCAGAATGTCCCTACGTCTAGTCTGTCGCTGCTGCTCGTGTTACTAGCACTGAAAGTTTGTAGTAGGGGTTACAAACAGGCGAGAGAGGGACATGTCCCAAGTCTCTGGTGAAAGGAGTGAACGGGTCCCAAGAGCTCGGTTGCTGCTCTTGTGTGTATCTGGATTTGATTAGTTCGGGGTCGGATCGGGTTCGGCTTTTTTCCCCATCCCCCTCATGGGACGTCTTGCTTTCCCTTTTATAAGCCAAGGGAAAGCACGGATTACAGCGGAGAAAAAGAGAAGAAGAGAGAGAGAGAGGAGTCCCTCAGGATCGTCGGGTCCTTATCCTTCATGCGAGTCCCGCCGACCCTGTAGATGTCACCAGGGACAGCTCCACGTCGTAGCCCTGTCCGCCACTGGTGCCATGCGCAGGCGTCGTCTACCGATCATGGCGTTCTATTCCGTCGCGTAGCGGACGTCATGGTGAGTTGACGCCCTGTCAGTATTCGTACGGGGGTTAGGCAGAACAGCACCGGTATGCTCGATGCTGTTCTTGATGTGAATCCCTAGGTATGGCCCGTCATGGCCATGGGTTACATCGGGGCATGCCGGTCTCTTCCATGGTGTCAGAGTTTTGACCCAGGCCCATACGCTTGGACCTAGAGTGGCTGGCGGTGGTATGGGTCCCCGTCGGGCGAGGCAAAGCCCGTCCCCAGAGGTCGGGCGAGGCGGAGCATAAACCCAAGGGTGAGGCGAGGCAGAGCCCGCGGCCTCGGGGTCGGGCGAGGCGGAGCATAAACCCAACGGTCAGGCGAGGCGGAGCCCGTGGCCTCAGGGTCGGACGAGGCAGAGCGCAGACCTAAGGGTCGGGCGAGGCGAAGCCCGCGGCCTCGGGGTCGGGCGAGGCGGAGCTTGCGCCCCTAGAGGTCGGGCGAGTTGAAGCTTGCGCGCCTAAGGTCAGTTGGAGCTGTAGTCGCGCCCTTTACCGCTCGGATGAATCAATGTTGATGATCATTAGCTCCTCCTCTTCGGGTACCCTAGTATTGGTCCCCGACAGCTAATCTAGATGCATAGCAAAATGAATGAACTAAAAAAGTCAAAGCTACTTATAATTTGGAGCGGAGGGAGTATTTAGCTTCATAACAAAAACTAGAAATGTCAAAATGACGTATAATTTAGAATAGAGGGATTAATTCTCTCTTGATCCCAAAGAAAGAAACTCTCTAGATTGTATGGATTTTTCTGCTGTTTGTTGGGTTTCATTGATTTATCCTCCAACTAGAAAATTATAAACCCTCTCACTGTTTGAAGCTCCAAATGGGCCCAACCGGCTCCCAGCTTTGAGCTAGGCCGTCCGTTCCTTGCGCTATCGCGTTAAAATGCAACTCAGCGCAAAGGGCTAAGCCTTGATTCATCAAAAGGTCCAACAAACCACCAAACGTAATTTTGGGCTATATTTTATGCTATAATTAAGATAAATAAAAATAAATTATAAATAACCTGCTGCGCTGCCAAGCACAATTAAAGAAGATCAAATAAAAGAACATTTAAAACAAAGTGATATTTTCACACTAGCTCTACTTTATTAACAACATTACCTGCAACATCAAACATTGCCAATAACTTCTGCATAAAGATCTAGTTCATTACAGATTAGAAAGTCAAATTGTGGCGCTGTCAGACAGCCACAATTACACAAATCTTACAATACACATAGTTCATTTAGCACCCCCCTACTTCAACACGGGAAAAAGGAATAGGCCTCATCAAATTTAACAGCAAACAAGAGTACAGAGTCAAGCAGCAACTACTCAAAGGATGCGCATACACCTGCCCCTTTTTCTTCACATTCAAAGGGATCAGTTTTAGACAAATCATGGACATGATTGATATGCATAAAGTCATGCTCACATCTTTTAGTAGTAAAATAAACCCGAGCACATCTTGAAGCCCTTTTCTCCAGCTGGAGCAGCAGATGCTGCTCTGCAAGAAATCTATCAGTCACACTGTCCCTTTGGCACTCAAATGTCATTGACTCCAGCATCTTTGCGTTCAGTACAAAGAATGTGGCAAAGTTAACTTGTGACTTTATGCCTCGATAATTATTCAACACGACTGTCTTGAGACGGATGTCAAGGCATTTAATAAGATTATGATGTTTACGGCGCCATAAATTCTGGTCTCCCCTGTATGCCTGAAAAGGAAAAAAAACAGTATACAAACACAATTAATTCAAGAAGAATTGACACAATATTAAGTCAGATCCAAAGAATATATGAACACAATTAATTACTAGTTTAGTATGTTTACCTGGATATACAACTTCTCCAAGCATGGGAAGCATCTCATGAAGTCAATAATCTCATCCAGGCTAAGAATAAAAATATTGACTGCTAAAATCTTGACAGTACACGCGGGCGTTGTCGAGTTAATGATCCGGAATTCCATCATGTCGTATGGCTGCATGAAACATGTGTCAGCCAATCTATAAATGATTATATTTTAAAGTATTTTTCTGCACACAGAGAAGCAACTAAGAAACTGTAGGCAAGAGGTACCTCAATAATCATAGAGCCCATTGCAAACCAGGAACAGTAATCAGTATAATTTAGGCAACCCAAGGTCTCCAGATTGGGTGCTGAAATAACTGATACTTGCAGTGGCATGCCCGTTTGTGGTGGTCGATGATACAGAATCCTTTTAAGGCAAGGGGCATCCTCGATGATGAATTTTTCTAGGAATGTCGCTGATGTTTGATACCCATCATCAGCATGACCCACCCCAATGCTTGTAAGACTAGCTGAGTTGATCCTAACACAGTGGAAGCCAAATATGGTGCTAAGCAGCAAGCACTCCAGGACGGGAGAAGCAGCAATAATGCTATGCAGGGAATCCTCCGAAATGCGGACCGATTGAAGTGCGAGCTTCTTGAGCTTGGGGAACTGAAGCGCCTGGGCGACGTCGTCTGAGAGGTGGCATTGGCTGAGAGTGGCGACGCAAAGGCATGACGAGAACCGGAAGGCAGATGCCGGCAGAGGTGGCGGTTGCAACTCCTGCGGCCCCCAAATGAAGGGGATCCAGCAGTCAATCTCCTGGAGGTTGTCGAGGGCGGAGGATCGGAGCCAAGCATCCACAGTGGCGGGGCTGTCCCATAGGAGTTGTGCAGGGAAGCGAAAGCGGCGGCCGGGGCCCCGGTGGGAGGAGAGGATGCGGGAGACGACATCGATGGTGCGAAGGTCACCGCCATCGAGGTTGAGAGGGGCGGAGCGCCAGAGATGGCGCCACCGGGTGGCGAGGATTCGCGTGCGGGCGGCATCTTTGGTGGGGAGGAGAGAGATGACCTCACCTAGAATGGCGTCCGGGAGGAGGCTGATTCGGTCGACCCCATCTTCTTCTTCTCCACCGGCTCCAGGCGGTGGATCTTGAATGTGGGATTCATCTCCTCCGGCTCCCGGACTCGGAGGATTGGATTCAGGTGCACTCGTCGTTGGCACCAGTGGCGAGATGTTTGCTCCACCCTCCTGTTCCAGGCTCGCCTCCGGCTTCCTTCTCTTGGCACGGCGAGGCACCGCCGCCAGAGCCTCCATGGCCGCCGGCAAATGGGTTGATTGGGGACGAGGCGGGTGAAGGGGAAAACGACGGCTGGCTGAAGCTCCGTAGGGTTTGGGTGCGTGCAGCATCGAGAGGCCTCCCGTTGCCGGCCCATGGGCCCAGATCATATGCGTTAGACTTCACAGCCAATTTCGAATGCAAACTTTGAGCTTGAACTAACGTATGTTAGGAAAAAGTTCATTTTAACTATCCTCGTAGTTTAGTTTTGCTTCCTAAACTTTAAAACCCGATAAATCACCTCTCAATTTTTAAAACCATTTATTTTATCTTCTGGATCCAGTTATAGGTGGTTTTCAAAAACGGTTTTATCTTTTTTCTTTTTTATTTATTTTGACTAATTTTTTAAAATATTATAGTAAAACACAGAAAAATTATAAAATGAAAAATTCAATTATCATAAACTCCACATGAATAGATCTACACAGTGAATATATAATATGATACTCTTTATTACAAAATTTTTGTTGTAGCTTTAGATCATTGATTTTATGTAATTAATTCAAAGCTTGAGTTTCTATGGTTCAATTGTGGTGAAATTTTATGGTGAGCTAACTATTATATTATTGAACTGTAGTAAAAAATTCATACTCATTGGATCATGTACAACTAAGTTATAGATTTATTTAGTTTTATGCTTGTTAAATAGTTTTAAAATTATTAAAAGTCTGTAAAAATATAAACGAGTATGAAATTTTTACTATATGTTAAACATACAATAGTTAGACCACCATAGAAATTTCACCATAATTGAACTGTAGCTATGAATTAATTATAGAAAATCATAGATCTAAAGCTACAGCAAAAAATTTGTACTAAAGCATACCATATTATATGTTTACTGTGTAGATCTACTCATGTAGAGTCAAAAAAATAGAATTTTTATTTTATGATTTTTTATGATTTACTATAAATTTTTTAAATATTTAGCCAAAATAAATAAAAAATAGCCTTCAAAAACCATTTATAACAGGATCAGGGAGGTAAAATGAATGGTTTTAAAAGTTGAGGATGAGGTTTACCCTGTGTTTTAGTTCAAGGAAGAAAACTAAACTTCGATGATGGTATAGAGAGGAAAAATGATTTTTTCCCCATATGTTACGTTGTAAGTTATAAAAAAACATATGTTAGTGTAAGGATATAACACCAAAAAGAGAGAATCAGCATGTACGAGTAAATGGATCGGAGTGACTATTCATCTGAACACGCAAACCTGCTTCTATTGCATGATAATTTTCTCTTTTACGTTTCTTATTGTACAAAACTTCTTTCAAAAAGCTCAAATTTACATTTGCGTGCATCCGTACGTCACCTGCACGTCTTTTTTTTCGGTAACAGCATCGGGGACGGACGGACACGGCTTCAACCTCCACCATCGTGGCTTTATCCACCGCTCCATTGGAGCTCCGCGCCGCCTGCCTTCCTCATTCCACGCTCCACTGCGCCGCTCGCTTGCACCACGGCATCCGCCTGCCGCGGCCGCCTCCGCTGCTCGCTTATCCGCCAAGTAGGTGCTCGCTAAGGGTGCACTGGCCCAGGCCGTTGCTCGCGCCGGGGTGCTCGCGCAGATGCTCGCCCACAGTGCTCGCACACCTCGTGCAGGTGCTCACCTAGGCTGCCGAGCAGGGCCTCGCCTAGGGCGCGCACCGACGAGCTCAATGCGCCGCCGCTGACCTCTGCGCCGACGTCAAGCTCCGTGATTCGTCCAAGCAACAAAGTGACAATGCGCACTGAAAACGCATGTTGCGAGAGACAAGAGTATGTTTCAAGTGTTTCAGATGTTTCATCTAGATGTTGCAAGTGTTTAATGTGGATGTTGCAAAAATAGATCGGGATGTTGAAATGGTTGTACACATATGTTGCAAGCTTTTGTTCTCAATGTTTTAGCTGTTTTTTCACACGTATGTTGCAAGTATATTTATTTAAATATTGCATATGTTTCATACATATGTTATAAGTGTTTTATCTGGATATTGTGTATGTCATACATGGTTTTTAAGTGTTTTTTTAGGTGTGTTTTTGCAAGTGTTTCAGATGCCTTCTGGATGTTTTAAAAGTAGATCGGATTTGCATCTTCCTCCTAGGTTTTCTGCTGTCTTGCCTCGGTGTCCGCTCCTCCCAGCGTCAGCTAGGCATCTGCCGCCCCCTCCTTTCTTTTTTCTTGATGCCGGTGATGTTCAGGGTGGCGCAGGCCCGTGTGGGCACGCGAAATGGCGCATGAAAGTGGACTACATGTGCGGGCGTTCGACGGCCGTTCATCCTGACGTCCGCGCGCGATAGCAAGGCCTTTTTTGTGATCTTTCTGTGCATTTTGTTTTTACCTTTTTTGAAGCGGGCCTGCTATATCGTTTTAACAAAAGAATGAGCCATTAAAGAGGTATGTACACCTGTAGTAAAGTTAAGAGAGCTGGAGAGCGTGCCACGTGCAAAGGAGGTTCATTCTTTTATAAACGTGCAAAGGAGGTTCATTCTTTTATAAAAAAATCGATTCGCGGTGGTTAGACAGCCCCGAGCATTCCAGTCAAGAAAGAGTATGAGTCTTCAAGTTTATTTGATTTTAATTGGCCAAGCTCAATTAAAATCCAATACTTGCGACATAGCATGTGTGCTAGCAGTTTAGCAGGTTCGGTAATGTAAATTCCAACGAAGATTAGTTGCCGCCTGAGCTAGAGAGATCGTTCTTCCATGCATATTGGCCCGTTCGACTTACCTTATAATCTGCAGTATTCAGCTTATTTTTTCAGTCGAAACAGTATTTTTCTCTCACAATAATTCAGCCAAGTTTTAGCGAACCGAACGGGGGCCATTATTACTTAGAGCTGTGCGCGTCCGTCACCGCATGCTGTCTTCTCAGCTACTTCCGTTTCCAGTAAGGGATAGCCTCCTCCATCGAGATATAGCTGCGCGCGGCAGCGTCCGGCGCCCTAGCAAGCCTGAATTTACAATTATGCAGCTCATAGCATTACTGCACAGAACGAAGATTCCGCGACAGACATTCCCGACCCAGCAACTGACCCCTACTAATTATATTCCGAATATGAAGAAAACACACACTATTATCAAAAACATGAGCAAGAATGCAGCACCTGGACCTGACGGTCCCAATGCTACATTTTACAAGGCGGCGTGGACGTGGCTGAAGATGTGCACAACCTGGTAACACACTTCTACAAATATGCTTATTTTCTAGAAGATATAAACCACACTTTTATTACTCTTATTACTAAAAAAGATAAGCCTCTTGTTCCCCAGGACTTTAGACCTATTAGCCTTTATAATGTAATTTACCAAATCATTTTCAAATCTTTGGTTGACAGACTCAAGCACCACCTTCCTCACTCAATCAATCTAGCTCAGGCAGCGTTCATTAAAAATAGACATATCTCAGCCAACATCATTATCACACAAGAAATCATTCACCCCTTCATCAACTTAAAATCTTGGAATCAGAAGGCTTTCCTTTTGAAGTTGGATCTGGCTAGGGCTTTTGACCATCTGGAATGGGATTTTGTTGTGGTTGCGCTTCGTGGTCAAGGGTATCATGGGAATTTCATTCGCCTTATCTATGCATGCATTTCAACGCCCACTTTCTATGCTCTCGTTAGTGGTGAGCCCATTGAATCCTTTTGATCTCAGTGAGGAATTAGGAGGGGTTGCCCTTTGTCTCTGTGCCTTTTTGTTATTGCCATCAATAAACTTACCCGTCGTCTTCGGTTTGAACTGCAGCATTCCAATCTCTCTGGGGTTGCTCTAGGACAGGCTGCCCCCCAATCCACTCCCTTCTGTTTGCAGACGACTTGATTCTCTGTGGCAAAGACTATATTGATCAAGCCATGACCATCCGCCACATATTCGAAGAGTTCTCCAATCTCTCTGACCAAGTTCCAAATTTCCAAGAATCAGCTATCATGTTCACCAAGTTCCAAATTTCCAAGAATCAACTATCATGTTCACCAAGACTGTGGATGATCACACAAAAGCCCAGATCAAATCTATTTTTTCCTATACCCGATTGCAGCCCAACACTATGCACCTAGGCCACCCTATAATCTTCAGTCACGGAGACAGGAACAAATCCTATGAATTCATCATAAACAAGTTTCGTGCCAAGCTTACTACTATCAAAGCTAAGAAACTCAACATGCAGGCCGTCTCACTTACATTAAATCTGTCCTTGCTTCCATTCCTGTTTATTACATGTCAGCTGCCCTTTTCTGGAGAGTTATTCGCCGGTTCTGGTGGGCTGGAGTCCAGGAAACAACACCACTAATCCTATTGTTTTTCGTTCTTGGGAGGACATATACCAGCGTAAAGAAAATGGAGGACTGGGAATCAGAGATCTCTACACTGTCAACAAAAGCATCATCACTCAGGCAGCTTGGAACATAGTTACTAACAAAAATAGCTTCCTGACTAGCATTCTGAAAGCAAAATATTTCCCCAACTCCGCTTTTTGGACGGCTACTACTACTGGCCCTCGTTCTATGTTCTGGTCTTCAATCATGCAAGTCAAAAAGGAGCTCATTCAGTACACGGTATACCAGGTTCATGTAGGAAACAGTTCGCCTTGGTGCAATATTTGGCAATCTATTCATGACCACCTTCTCATTCCGGTTTCCCAATCTCCTTTACCCAATACTATCTCAGATTTATGGATGTCTAACACTCATACTTGGAACATTGAATTACTATCAAACGTTTTTTACGAACATGCTGTGCAGATTATTTCCCAGGTACAAACTCTGCAGAATCAACAACAAGACATTCTTAGGTGGATTCCGGCAAAAAAAAAAGGTGATTGCACAGCTAGAAATATCTATAAACACTTAAGTTTCCAGTTGCAGGTTACTCTACCACCGCAAGGTTCTCGAAGCATCAGTCCACAAGCAAATCAAATCCTTCAAAAAATGTGGAGACAAAGAAATCTACCGCCGACCAATTATACGAAATTAAGTAAGAAAATCATCCGCCAGAGCTG